AATTTCATTTATAATTTCTTTCATTTTAATTTCGAAAAAATACTTTTAAATCGAAATACTTTGCCCTTTGCCAGCTGGTCGCAGCAGAGGTCACTGCTGCTCACTCAAGGCACCAGCAGCTCCTCTGCTGCAGCTGAGATTTAATTCAATAATTAATTTTTTCTTTTTTTTATTTTTCCTTCATTTTCCCCTTTAATAACAAAAAGGAGACATAGTTATCTATTTATTTGTCTTCTCTCTTTATTCGTTATTATTTTATTGCATGTGATGCACCCGGAAGAAAGATATAACCTGTTGTAATAAACTGCATTCACTCATTCGTCTGACTGCTTAGCCCTAAAACCTAAACCCTAAACCCTAAACCCTAAACCCTAGGGAGACCTTAAGCCAGAGTGCATCTTCAGAGTCTTCAGTCAAGAAAACAAGCAGGAGTTTGCACGCATATTGGCCGCCTCCCTAAAAACATAAAAGTAAAAATAAAATAATTTATTTCAATCAGAAAGAGGCAGCCACTAGGGCCCCAAGGGGGGCCCCCAGCAACAGGGCCCCAAGGGGGGCCCCCAGCTGGGCTTACGGGCCTTCTGGGGGCCCCCGGGGGCCCCCAAGAGGCCCATATAAAGGGGGCCTCAGAGGCCCAAGGAAGACCCAGGAGCCTTAAAGGGTTTTAAGCAACCTTCAGGGCCCCTGGGACTCTGGGGGCCCCCATGGTACCCTCAGGGGCCCCCAAAGGCCCCTAAAGGGCTTCACGGGACCCCTGAAGTGCTCTAGGGGGCCCCTGAGGGGGCCCACAGGGGCCCCACAGGGGCCCCACAGAGGCCCCTGTGGGGCCCTTCAAAAGACCCTGAGCCTTTTGCTCCCTGTGTGCCAAACCCCAAACCCTAAACCCTAAACCCTTGTGTTGCGAGATTGAGGTCTTTGTCCGGTCCTTTTCCTGCGTCTACTCTGAGCCTGCCCCCCGTTTTTGTTCTAAACCCTAAATCCTAAACCCTAAACCCTAAACCCTAGGGGAGCTATTTGAGTTGCAAACACAAGACAGGAGAGACGAAACCTTCTCTTCAGTGTGTCACGAGCTGGCCCTTTTTGAGTTCTTTTGCTAGCTGGCTTATGCAGCGGCTAGCTAGCCCGTTGGCTAGCCAGCCAGCCAGCTAGCTAGCTGTAAATAGCCAGCCAGACAGCTAGCTGGCTAGCTAGCTAGCTGTGTACGTCCGGCCTGCTGGCCAGCCAACCCACCAGCCAGCCAGCTGGCTAGCTAGCCAGGTGGCCAGCTAGCTAGCTAGCCACCTGGCGAGCCAGCCAGCCAGCTAGCTAGCTAGCTAGCTAGCTAGCTAGCTAGCTGGCCGGAGAGGCGCCGCAAAGTTCTCGAGAAAGTCCCCCAAATGCCGTGGGGCAGAACGCCAGAAAGACGCCTCTGAAGTTAACCGCCTTTCGAATTGAATTTAAAATTTAAATTAATTTGAAGAAACTTTTCACATATTCTAATGCATGCAAATCCGCACAGGGGCTGCGCGCCGGAGAGGCTGCCGCAGCTGCAGAGCTAAGCCGGAGAAATATAATTTGAATAAATGAGAAAAAGAAGATTTACATTTCACATAAAAGATAATTAATTGAAGAGACTTTAGCAGAGGGAATAAATACAAACATGCAAATAACAAGACAGCAAATTTGCAAGTTCAACAAATACACCCAAGACGCGCTGCAAATAGACCTCTCGGCGCAAAAGGTAAAAAGGAATATTGTCGGCATTAAAAGGCTTTCTTTGGATTTAAATGTGCCACATGCAGTCGCAAACACGGACCATAAAATGCGCGCAAGCCGCCGGTGTACGTACACCGCAGGTGCGCGTACACCGCAGCTGCGCATGCACCTGCGGTGTACGTACACCGCAGAACCCGCGCCACAGCCTTCTTTAAAATCAGAATCCACCAATGCATGCAACGAGAAACAGAGAACAATTCTTTAGGGACTTTAATAAGGCAATTTATTTAATGTTTAATTCCACTTGAGCAGCTTTGCGAAATTGCATGCGGCATTTGCAGTGTACGTACAGCGCGGCTTACATGCACATACCTTTGCGATGCGCGCATTTCAGGAAGCGACTTAAGTGTTTTGGCGTCTGAATTCCTCTTTATTTATTTTATTAATTTATTTATTTTATTCTTTTCATTTTATTTCGTTTTATTTCACTTTACTTTTCTTTTAAACATGCTCAGCCGTGAACACACATATGCCGCCGACGCGAACACAAAAACCGGCGCCATTTTCAGGGGCCCCTTCAGGGCCCCTCAGGGGCCCCCCTTGGGGGCCCCTTGGGGCCCCTTTTGGGGGCCCCTGGGGCCTTCTAAGGGGCCCAAGGGGGCCCCTTGGGGGCCCTTTGTGGCGGCTTTCTTGGGCGCCTTGGGGGCCCCTTGGGACCTCCTCGGGCCCTCACAAGGGCCCCCAATTGGGCCTCCCGAAGGGTATTTTAGGGACACCTCCGAACCCATTTGGGGCCCCTCTGAGGGGCCCCCTTGGGCCCCTGGGGGTTCTGTTGAGAGCCCCTGGGGCCCCTCGAAGGGGCCTCCGTGGGGCCCCCTTTTGGGGCCCCCGCTAATATGTGTGTTGATTTTTTTCCATTTTTTCTAATCTCCTTTATTCCTTTTTTGGACTTCTTTGTCTCAACTTCCCCCTCCTCTTGTCTTTCTCACTTATTTCATTTTTCATTTATTTCTTTTTAATTTCTCTTTCACTTATTTCTTCTCTTGTCTCATTATTTCTTTCCTCCCCTACACATTGCATGCGCCCCGGGGGCCCCCCTGCTCACAACTTGCTGTGGGGCCCTCCCCTTGGGGGCCCCCCCCTGGGGGCCCCCCCTGGGCCCCGGCGTGGGGCCCCTCTTCGAGAGCCAGTGGGGCCGCGGGTTGCGATGCTGCTGCTGCTGCTGCTGCTGCTGCTGCTGCTGCTGCAGCAGCAGCTGCTGTTTTATTGGCGCGTCTGCGGGGCGCGTAGGTGAGCAGCTTGGCGGCGTAGGACTGCTGCCTCCTGGCCCTGTCGGCCGCCCGCCTGCTGCTGCTGCTGCTGCTGCTGCAGCAGCAGCAGCAGCAGCCCCAGCCCAGCCACAGCATCACGGGGTACATGCAGGCCAGCAGCAGCGTGAGCGCCCAGGCCACGGGCCTGCAGTCCCCCCGCTGCCACTTCACGGAGACAGAATTATAAAGAGGAATCGAAATCAAAGACACGAGGCCCCCCACGGCCTGCGCAATCCCAGAAAGTCTCCCGAAGTGTTTGCTGCTGAACCTGCTGCTGACGCAGCAAAATATCAACTCGCTGTCCAGCGACACGTACCCGCAGAAGCACACCAGCGACAGCAGCAGGGGCCCCTGGGGGCCCCCCTGGGGGCCCCCCTGGGGGCCCCCAGGGTCGTGAGGTAGGCGCAAAAGCCCAACGTGTTGATGAGACAGAGAATGGAGTAAATGCCGATGAAGTCGATGGCTGCGCCGATGAGGAGACAGGGAATAAAAGCAAAAGACAAAAAAGTGTCCATTAAAGAAGCCACGGGGGCCCCCAAGAGACGGGGCCCCGCCATTTGGTAGAAGGAGATGGCGATTTGCTGCGAAGCAGCCACCAGCGGGATGCACAGGAAGTGCAGCGACAGCAGGTCCGCGCGGAAACTCCTGCTGCTGCTGCTGCTGCTGCTGCTGCTGCTGCTGCTGCTGCTGAGGCTCAGGCTGCTGCTGCTGCTGCTGCTCCCGCCGCGCCGCTGGCCCCGCCACAACCAGCACAGGCGGCTGCACCCGCCGCGCCGCGGCGCCCGCCGGCACTCCCCCGCTGCTGCTGCTGCTGCTGCTGCTGCTGTTGCTGCGTCGTACACGGCCACGGCCGTCGCCCCGTCCTCCAGCTCCTCCGCTGTTGCTGCTGCTGCTGCTGCTGCTGGTTGTTGTGCTGCTGCTGCGCTCGAGGCCGCCGTCGCGTTCTCGGTGTTGCCTTCCCCCTGGCTGCTGCTGTCTTCGGGCCCCGCTGCCGCTGCTGCTGCTGCTGCTGCTGCTGCTGGGGGGGGAGCAGCAGCAGCAGCAGCAGCAGCAGGAGCAGCGGGAGCAGCGGGAGCGGGAGGAAGGGCGAGGGGGAGGCTGCTTCCGCTGGCGGTGGGGCTGGCGCAGGCCTCGAGCGGGAGCGGCTTCTGCTGCTGCTGCTGCTGCTGCTGCTGCTGCTGCAGTGGCTTGTGGTCGCGCCAGGGCAGCAGCAGCAGCGCGAGGAGCGCGCAGCAGCAGGGGCCGAGCAGCACGTAGAGGAAGCAAACGGAGGAGAAGGCCCAGGAGGGGTTTTGCTGCCAAATGAACTCCAGCAGCAAAGGCACTGCGAAAGACGCAGTGCATGCAGTCCCCAAAAGAGAAAAGACTACTCCTTGTCTGTCTCCGAACTTCGCCACAATCCGCAGCAGCGGCAAATAGCCCGTGTCAGTGCCGAGCCCGATGCAGCAAAAGGCCGCGAAGTACAGCTGCTGCTGCTGCTGCGACAGCCCCAGCAGCAGCCAGCCTGCTGCTGCCAGCAGCTGCCCCAGCAGCGCAGTTCTCTTGGGCCCCACAGCATCCAGCAAAGCCCCAGCTCCAGCAGACATAAGAGAGTGGCTGACCATTGCCACGGTGAAGAGGGGAGCCACAGCAGCATCTTGAGCGTCGCAGAGCAGCAGTCCCTCTCCTGCTGCTGCTGCTGCTGCTGCTGCTGCTGCTGCTGCTGCAGCAGCAGCGGGAGACGCGGGCGGGGGGCACAGCCACGCGTAGGCACCAGAGGACAGCAGCATCCGCCGCAATGAGGGAAAGCCGAAGTAGACGCAGCCAGTCAGCAGCGCGCTGCACATGTACAGCAGCAGCAGCAGCTCCCGCGGCAGCAACTCGCAGAGTTCTGCTGCTGCTGCTGCTTCCCCAGGGGGGCCCCATATCCGCACCGAACCCCACACACCCAGGGGGCCCCCCCGCCTCCGGGGGGGCCCCCCGGGGGCCCCCCGGGAGGAGGCCCCCGGGAAGACC